TGAGCTGGCTCTTGCTCCATTAGTTACAGTGATTCTGCATGCTTCAGGTTTTTCTTTCTCTTCGCAATTTGTATCTAATATTATTGTTTCTGTATCCAAAGATCCTATCTTTTCTTTTTAATTATCACCACCATTTAATTTCATCATTGACCTTTGTCTCTTCGTAAACAGAGAAAGAGAGCTTTGAATTTGATGATTTCCTTTTTATGTTTTTTCTTCTTTTGCTCGTCAATAAATTTGCAGCTGTTTAATTCCGCGTTATTATCTATAGTAATAGTAATAAACAGTAATTTACTCTTGTTTAGATCTATAAACAAATAAATAAATCATCTCTCTCTCTCTAATCCTTTTAGCCGTTTCACTTTCTCGGGGTCCCAGATAGATGATTCGTCGTTTTCTATGTAAGCTTTTTTAAGTTAAAACCTGAGAGAAAGCTATCTTTTGTTGCTGTTACAAAAACTTGCCGCTTCAAGTTATGATGCTCGTTTTCCGGGAAAATCTATACAATTTCCTCTGTTAAGCTTTGTTTCTACTCTCTGGTTTGTGCTTTGTTTAGCGAGAGTAGTTGTCTTTTTGTAATGTTGGTTCTACTTTTTTTCTTGTTGTTGTTTCAGACTGACATCAAGCACATGCATGGTCTTGAAATCAGCATATAAGACTGAGATTGAGGTCTGGTTAAACTGTCACACAAAGGCAGTGTGGAATTTGGTGAGTTTATCTGATTTCTTGAAACATTTGAATTTTCTTGCAAAATTAGTCTTTGGTTGAATTCGGTTGGTTTTGGTAGATTATGGAACATGGTTTTGCCGTCTATGAAGTCGATCAAATCATTGAAGTCACTTGTTAAAAGAAGAAACAATGGTCAAGAAGGGGTAAGCTTTGTTTTACTTTATAGAACCTCGATTATGTTTTGGGTTATTATGCTGTTTCGACAACATTAGCTTTGAATCGTGGTAAAATGCAGAGTAAATCCGGGTGGAAAATGAAGCCCTTTTTGGCTCTCATATGTACAGCACTATTGATCTTTTGGTATAAGACAACAAATATTCAATTCGAACAAACAGAGGTATGTTGGAACCGATTCTTATCGGTCTGATGTCTTCGGATGTGCCGATTTTACTATTTTTGATAAGTAAGCTCCTTTTTTTATTTCTACCCTTCAGATAGAAGAAACAGATTATCCTTTTGAGATGGCAAAGGTAGCATTTTGATACTCGAAGTTATCGTATTTTCTTCATTCTTCATGTATCACCGGTTTGAGATTAAGTTTACTTGTGGATTGTGGTCAGGAATCTGATCCAGTCACAGAGAAACTAAAAGCCTTGCCTCGCGGAATCATACATGCTACATCAGACCTCGAATTAAAGCCTCTCTNGTCTAGTACTAGTTTGAGGTCAAAGGTTAGCTAGAGGAATGCTTTGCATATATAACCGAAAGGTTTTGTTGCTAGATGGATTTATGATGTGTGTTGTGATGATTAAACGCAGGGTGTCGATATGACTAACCGTAACTTGCTGGCAATACCCGTAGGAATTAAGCAAAAGAGTAATGTCGACGCTATGGTAAAGAAGGTATTGTATTGTTTTGCTGAGTTGATACTAATCTTAGGCATTGAAGAAGAACAAAGATTTCCTCTTAATGTAAAGCTCTTGTGTCTCAGTTTCTTCCAGCGAATTTCACGATTGTTCTTTTCCATTACGATGGCAATATGGACAAATGGTGGGATCTAGAGTGGAGTTCAAAGGCCATACATATAGTTGCTCAGAACCAAACAAAATGGTACTTGTTCTCTCATTCTCTATTCCAAGTTGCTCTGCTTTTACTTAGGAAGTCGAATTATATGAAATGATAAAATAGTTTTTGTTGAGTTTGGTAAAGTCTAAGTGCATCCTCATTAGAATATAACATAGAAAGTTTTTGTTGATATGTTCAAATGTTTAACATTGGTTTATGAATTTTGCTCTCTTGACTTTAGGTGGTTTGCGAAACGATTTCTCCATCCTGATGTTGTATCCATTTATGATTATATTTTCCTTTGGGATGAGGATCTTGGAGTAGAGAATTTCACACCAGAGAGGTTAAATTCACTTTTTCTTAATCTTCTTGATTCTATGCTACTATAAGGAATCAAGAGCGTCGCGAAACCGAGTGTGACACCGTTTTCTACAGATATTTGAAGATAGTTAAATCAGAGGGACTGGAGATATCTCAACCGGCTTTGGACGCAAACTCTACTGAAATTCACCATAAAATCACACTCCGTTCTAGAACAAAGAAATTTCACAGGTTCAAATTCTTTATTAGGAGTTCATTATTTGGTTTTCAATTAGTTTGGTACTTATTAACAACTTGGTGATGCCAAATACACAGGAGAGTTTATATCAGTAAAGGCACTAAAAAGTGTTCTAACGCTAGTGAAGATCCTCCTTGCACAGGGTAATGGTTTGGTAGGCGATGAATAATTTATTGGAACTATTGAGTATATACATATTTGAGACACTTTTTGTTTTGGATTTTATCCTTTGTTTGTAGATTTGTTGAAGGAATGGCTCCGGTGTTTTCAAGAGCTGCTTGGTTTTGCACTTGGAATCTTATACAGGTAAGTTAAACTTGAAGGCTATTTATTGATAGAGTCATCTGATCCTGAAATAATTTTTCACTTGCGGTCATTTTTCTTGGTTTTTGTAGAATGATTTGGTTCATGGATGGGGAATGGATATGAAACTCGGGTATTGCGCACAGGTGACCTATTTTTTTTTTGTTATAATCACATTTCTCATTCAAGATTCTATGGTTTAAGTCAAAAATATTGATTTTCACACCGACCGTTTTGAGTTTTGCACCTTCAAAACCAGTCAAAGTCCTATTTCTGAAATTACGCGTGATTTGGCATATTTGATTCCATTGTCTTCTATTCATGAGCCTGGTTTAAATGTTGTAGGGAGACCGGACTAAGAATGTAGGGATTGTGGATAGTGAGTATATCTTTCATCAAGGCATTCAAACTTTAGGTGAAAGTGTACATTCTGAGAAAAAGGTATGATCTTTTAAAAACCGAGATCGAATTTCCCATTCATTTGGCCTTTTAGCTAAGAAAAGCTCACACCTTTATGATTCTTTTTTCATTGATATTTCAAGAGACATGGACATACAACCTTTGATTCGAGAACCTCGGTGAGTTTCCCGATCAAAATCTTCTTCAATATGTCATGGTTAAAAGCAAAAAACTTAGCATCATAGTGTTTGTATGGTTTGATGAAACAAGTAGATAAGGAGGCAATCAACATGGGAGCTTCAAACATTTAAAGAACGATGGAACAAAGCTGTCGAAGAAGACAAGGAGTGGATCGATCCATGGTCATCGAGCTCGAAGGCAAAGGGGAAGAGTAACGGTAATAACAGAAGATTAAGGCGCGGTAGTAGTCACCGGGTAAAGCATAAGAGAACTCAAGAGACATCAACAACATAACACACAAATAGCAAAAGAAGGATTTTTATACACACATAGAGAATGCTTTATTTATGTAATTAGTTACATTTTCTTAATTAGTGTAGCTTCCTCTTTGTCTAGAAAAGGAGTTCATATTAAATTTTTAATTAATAAAAGCTCTTGTCCATTCTATATTTTCATCATAGCTCAACTATAAACTAAATCCCATAATTGTAATTTAAGTAAGAATTATGCATATTAAAATCATCTAGATATATTTAAATTGATTGGGCTGAGTTATTTTCCAACTAGAAGTAAACCAGAAGGTATATAAACGAAGTTGTGATGAAGACTCAAAGGGCACTTTTTCAAACTTACGACTACTTCAATTCGAATTTCTTTGTCTTTCTTTCTACACTAAACTTTTTGAGTTTCGGTTATTTGTGAAAACCTTCCACATTTATACGTTTGAAAATTATACTTGAAAACCCAATTAAAAGTAATTAAAACTTTTGAAAATATTACTAGATGATATAACAAGTTGTATATAAATTTGAATTGTTTAAAAAGAGTGAGTAATATTTTCTAAATTGTTTAAAATTAGGTATCTTATAAATAAATTTGAAAAGGGAAAAAATGTGTAAATTTTGATTTACAAATATGTTTTTAAGTATTAGCATATGATTACCTTGTATATTTAAAAAGACAGATTAAGTTTTGAAAATAGAACTAAAAGAAGAAACTAGATATAAATTAATGTAATTAGCTAATTTGTAGATATACTTTCCAACCTTACCACATTTATCATCCTTATAATTTTGGTAT